GTCCTCTTTTGGAAGACCAAACAAAGTAGTTTCGCTTTCACAACGAAACACGCGGCGGCTAGAGTGAGCAGTGGCAGGCGGGCTTGAGAATGGCGCGGCCGGCGGATTCGACGAAGGAGGCTTGCGGCAACCACATGTGACGACCCCGGGCTGGATTCTGCTTCGTCCACGGTGAAAGCCGACCCGGCGATCCACAACGTGAAGTTGATGTATTCCCTCAGCGACCAGCACGGATCAGCTCTAGGCATGACGAAGCGGATATCGTCCTCTTTTAGAAGGCCAAACAAAGTAGTTTCGCTTTCACAACGAAACACAGCGTCTTCACGACATGGCGGCAGCAACAATACTACAGCGAGAATAAAAGTTACGCCTTCTTTCTTTGCGTGAACATTTGGGTGGCGTTATGCAAATCTTCCCACATTGTGACGTAGACATGTGGGGGCGTGTTAGAACGAGTTTTAGTTAGGTGTGGTTGACTCTTAACTTTTATAAAGAATATCTCTTTGGATTTGAGACTTTTGTCTTTGCAACTTTACAGATCTTCTTTATGCACCAAGAGCTTGTAACACTTCAAAGAGAAAGGAAAAATTGAAATCGCATCATATGACCCCTTTGATGCTAAACGGTTAACTTGCACATATTATACACAACAAATTGCCTTTTGATTAACTAAAACAAAATATGGCCGTAACGTGACCGACTTTTTGATGAAGCATTAAAACAGCTACCCTTTAGAGTCCAATGGTTTGAATGAGGTTGGATTTGGCACGACACAGGCATGGGAAAACCTTTGGCATAGTGTCAAATGTTTATGTATCTGGGTTGTCCACTATGTGCGGTCTAAAAAGCCTCTCTAATACATTTGACTGCTGTATGTTGTGGCTTTGTCATTTTTATCTGTGATGAATGTTGATGCATCATGCATAAGTTATGATCGCATTATTTACACATGTTCAGGCCTTTTCATCGTAATGCTTTGATATTGTTAATTTTAATATCATATTTTTCAGTTTCTAGTTTTTGCTGATTAGATGGAAAGGTGTATTTTGGAGCTATTACAAGCTCACTCAAAACATCAAAAAATCTGCAGGTACTTTCGGAGCTCAGAAACTTTTTGCTGTAAAACTCATTTTTATGTTAACAGCACTTTACATTTATAGCACATACTACATGCATATACCATCCTCTCTCCCCCTGCGCATCAGCTTTCAGGTTTGAAGCAGCAGGATTGTAGAAAGTGCTGAGTCACTCTTGGATGGCTGGACTAAGCTCCCTACGCCCAGCGTGATAATTAATCCTCTTCATGGATGGCTGAGGAACTAGAAGTCTGATTGAATATTTAATGGTTGGACACAGTTGCCCCACCACCTGCAGCTGCCTGAGACACACAGATCTCTTAGAAGCTTCTTGGAGAGTGTGCGAGAGAGAGACGACAGGATGTGGTCTTTGTTTTCTCACAGGCACCTTCGAATAAGGCTCTGCTCAGATCAGACTTCCCGATTCAGGTCTCCCGAGTCTCCAACTCTTGGGATGCTAAGCTTGTTACTTTGAGGCATGTTGCTGGTGATTCATAAAGCTGCTGTTTGGAATTTTTCTACGTTAAAAACTTTCTCGTGTTGCAGAGTTGACTTCTTGAAAAGTATAAAAACTCCGCTGTCCAAACATTGCTCTGTTTGAAAAGAACTTGGGGGAAAAGTGAGTTACTACTCATTTCCATGAAAAGCTTATTGATGTTGAAGACCATCTGCCCTTTGGTTGGTTGAGTATTGATTTAGAAGCTCAAAACTGCCAAAATGTAATCAATCGAGTCAATAATACAACATGCGTGACATTGTGTGAATGTGTGTGTGAATGTGTTCTCTACAGGAATGTGAGCTCAGCCGGAGAAGAGGCCCGCCGCAGGATGAGAGAGTGTGAGGGACTGACTGATGCGCTGCTCTATGTCATCCAGACAGCCCTGGGCACCAGTGAGATCGACAGCAAGGTTTGACCTTCCCTCCTCTGCCTTTCTACCAAAGTATATGCATTCAGCGGAGCGCCTCCGAGAATTCTAGCAGGTTTAGTTGTGCAGTTTTTACTCCCCAACCATTTGGAGCACTTCTCCACTGCTAAATGTTAGATGAGATTGAAGACACAATGCAAAATGGGCAAAAAACCCAGTCTAGACCAGCTTAGTCTCAGACGCACGCCCACCGACCACCCACAGTCCGTTCGCTCACAGTCTGATGAATATTGCACATAACACTAAAAATCACTCATGATCTTGTGTGCATTGTTAGCCAACTATGGACACAAGTTACCAACATAGTTCAGTGATTCAGTGTTTCAGTGTTTCCCAAAACCATAGTTCCAATAAACATTTGCACACAACATCATATAGTTGTGTGGTTGAAACTACCTGTGGTTAGAAGCAGAGTTTCTTGTTTGCATGGCTTGAATACATCATGCTCTTGAGCAAAACAAGCAAGCTAACAGGCAGTTCCATCTATATCTTTAATTTCACATACTGTATATACGAATTTCATTGTACATCTTTTAGTTTAAGAATGAATGTGCTGTTTTTGAAGAGTGCACATGTGAATGTGCTCTGGTACTCCGGAGGAGTATGACATAAGAGGGAACTTGTGATTGAATCCAACATCTGTAGATAAAGCGAAACAATGTAGAGCGAAGGTAGTGAACTAGCCTTCAGATGCTGTGTTTATTTACAGCAATAATCTGACATTAATTCAATATCGAACCGATTAAATAACAGCAAGAAATTATTACTCCAGCACCGGTGCGCCAGCATCATTAACAACTGTTCTATATTGTTAAACCAACATGGTTTGAACTAAAAAAAAAATTAACAAACTACAGTTGATTTCTAAACAGTACACATTGATCAGTGGGTATTTCATGCTGATTTGTGCTTTACTGGTCAAGCAGGTTTACATGCAGTAATAACTGTTTTCAGCTGAACACAAAAGAAGGTATTTTGAAGAATGTTGGAGGTATTGACTTCCATAGTCAACTGTGTGGTTACCAGCATTCTTCAAATTATGTTGATTTGTGTTCAACAGAAGAAATCCCTAGCATTTCTCATCTAAATCTAGATAAAACCAGCATTTTATTTTATTTTTCCCAGCAGGGGCAATAGACATTGTATTAGACAGACAGTTTAGGTTTTGTTTTGGCTCCTCTAATTGCTTTACCACCAACAATGTTGTAAAAAACAACAATAGCTGCGGTTGCTTTTAAGCAAGCTTTATGGTAATTACGCAGATAAAGTCATGCAGTGACACACCTCTCTATATTGAGTTTTAAGTCATTTATAAGTCATTTTGATACTCCCATTTGAATTCTCCCATTTGCAGGTGTTTCCATGTTTTGCCATTTTTGTAATCTGAAAACTTGTTTTCCCTCCAATCTTTGTGCATCAAACGCGCCCCCTTCTAGACCATCGAGAACTGCGTGTGCATCCTGCGGAACCTGTCGTACAGGTTGGCGGCAGAGACGTCTCAGGGGCAGCAGATGGGATCGGAGGAGCTGGATGGGGTTCTGTGCACCGATGCCAGCGGGAAGGATGCGGAGAGCTCCGGCTGCTGGGGCAAGAAGAAAAAGAAAAAGAAGAGCCACGATCAGGTGGGCCGGGGGTTTTTATCCCTGCAGCTGCTGGCAATTAGCATCACTTAGCGGCATTCACGTGCGGGTCGCCTGCGCCGACACTCGTCCTCCTCCAGTGAATAATTATGTATTTTCCAGGCTGATTTCATTTAGTTTCTGAAAACAGATGAAGATAAGGGCATCGGGAGTGTTTGTTCAGCATTTGCATGGCATGAATAGCGAGGTAAAAGGTGGCATTACTTTGCATTGTGACTTTTAAATAACTAAATTGTCTGTGAGTCATCTGTTCCTTTAACAATGATGCAAATGCACATCTGGTTGTGCGACAGTTGAGTTTGCCCTGTCTATTTAATTACGCTGTATCCTAAACAACCAGTGAGCTTTATCTTCAAATATTTCAATATGCAGCAAAAAAGTACCATGTTATTTCCAATAAATACTATGAGATTCTTCAAAGTACCTCGGAGTGCCATGTAAATACTACTGTATATGAATAATCATTCCGTACTATGGTATGATAATCAGTGCACAAGCCACATTGAGCTGGTATGCTCAAGCAGGCAATATGAGTTCTAGTCTGGCTCGTGACATTGCCCAGTCCTGTTTCCCCTTCTTCTCACCATCATTTCCTGATGGCTCTGTACTGTGCTTATTAATAAAATGGCCAAAAATAAAATAGCATCTGGCACTTTCCATGAATAGGGTACAATTTGGTGTCCCATTACACTTTGGCACAAATCCCATGTTTTTTTGTTGTGAAACCCCCTCCATCCTTGTTAAATTGTGATTTTTGGCCTGTCCCATCTCCACTGTATCTAGCAATTTAAGCCATACAACAGTGTCATAATTTTTGCTGATATTTAGTTCATTGTTGTTAAAACCATTTTTTTCCAAAAGAAATTTATTTGGCAAACATGCATTAAATTGATCAAAAGTGACAGTTGAGACATTTATAATGTCACAAAAGATTTCCATTTCAAATAACGGTTGTTCTTTTGAACTATTCATCAAAGTCTGTTTTCAACAGTGAAAATTAAATGTTTTTGAGCACCAAATCAGCATATTAGAATGACTTCTGAAGGATCATGTGACACTGAGGACTGAAGTAATGGCTTCTGTAAACTTCTAGAAACACTGTTACCTTTTTTGGTGATTCTTTCCCTTTTATATGTTTTGTCCATGCTACTTTTATTTATTGTTTTATTGCTAGAAAAAAACTGAAATCAGGGTTAAGTATCACATATATTGCTAACAAGGTTGCAAAACCCACATAAAAAATTTATAAAAAATAAACTACATAAAGGCTGATGGTCTATATTTAATAAAGGTTGAGCACCTGCTTTCTTTGTCTATTCTGTTTTGATTCAGGCCCTATTTTGTAACCTTGTGGAATGTATCTGTTTATGATTCTTTTTCTTGATAGTAACACTCTGTAATAACACTCTGCCTTTCTCTGCTTTCAGTGGGATGGTGTCGGGCCTTTCCCAGACTCTAGTGACCCTCCGAAGGGACTGCAGATGCTGTGGCACCCGTCCATAGTAAAACCATACCTCACTCTACTGTCTGAGTGCTCGAACCCGGACACATTGGAGGGAGCGGCTGGGGCTCTACAGAATCTGGCAGCGGGTAGCTGGAAGGTAGGCCCCACCTTAAAACCTGTGAGTAACCCTGCACCCAAAGAGCCACGAACCAAACAAACTGGCTCTGGCACCCATCACCATTATGACTGACACTAATACACATTCATACCTCAGTTTTGTCTGTCAAGGTCATGGAGTTCTACAAACAGCAAACAGATGTCTAACACAAACTTGGAGAACATAGTGAACTTTATATTGAGAACACAGTCTCTTTCGAATTTACACAACCAGTGTAAGATAGCTGATGGCTTCAAACTTACGTCTTCAAATGGATACAATGTAGAGAGTTGAATTCTCACTCAAAGTCTTGAAAGTGTAAACAGTGACTCAGATATTCTGTGTCAAATTGTGCAATTTTGCACTTCAAAATTTTCTGTTGTCCTCATTTTCTGCTCAGAAAAGTGAAACAAACAACAGTGCAATGAATTAAATTCACATTTCATGTAGGGCTGTGCGATATGGACAAAAAAAACCTATCGCGATTTCTTTGATCAATTTAGCGATTTCGATTTTAATCTCGATTTTGACACACACAGACATGCTTTACAGTCATAAATGCATGTGCAAAGTGAATTTGAAACATATTTCCAAAAGAAAACCAATTAGAGCTTTATCAAAAAGCTGTAACATGTCTCTAGAACAGACATAAGGCAGAATAATCACTAAGTAAAGGTGTAACAAAATGTCTCTAGAATAAACGTATGGCAGAAAAAAATAAATAAAATCCCGTGTCCAGGGATTTTTTTTTGCCATGCATTGGTCATAGAGCTCTTTGTGGCGTTGCCTCAGATGTTGAACTAGATTTGTTGCGCCAAGTTCACACGTACTCCGTCTGCAGTGCGTATACAGTATGTGTATGCGGTGCAGAAGCAGCATGGACTCATTTTGCTTTCGCACAGGATGCGTTTGCAGTCCGCTCCTGATCCGCGGCTGTTTACCACAAATACAACATTTATCCATTATTTTGATTTCAAATCCAAACGTTGTTTGTGAAAATGCTTTTTCAGCATTGTGATTCTCTTATATCACAGTACAGTAATACAATCTTTCATAGACATATTCACGTTTAAACGCAATAAATATAACTTTGTTTAACTACCACCAAGAGTGCCATCTATTATTGCCTTGTTTATCTAAAAGTGTATTTTTCCTTGTTTTAAATCTAGCCAAAAAGCCATGTGTTGACTGTGAAACAGTAGACTTTAATTATATGCATTTATGGTGTAATTACTAAATTTCCGTGCCAATCCATGTTATTTTTTAATGCGAATAATGCACTGTCACTTTCAGCGCGTGCAGCACAGCAGAAATAGACTCCTGGAGCGCACTGCCGGACCACAATCGCGTGCAGTGTGAACGCTCTGATCCGTTAACATGGGCGCAGAAAAAATACGCACCACAGATGGAGTGTGTGAACCTGGCGTTACGTTTGTATGCCCGCACGGTCTGTTCTGTTCTCGTGCTCCATTTAGGCGCGCTGCATTCTGATTGGTTCGGATAGCATACTGCGGGAGGTCGGGGGCGTGAAAAATCGTGCTATAAAGCGATTTAGAAATCGCACACGCTCAAATCGCGATTTTATGATGATTTCGATTAATCGCACAGCCCTAATTTCATGCAATGTTGACACCAAAATCTCATTCCAGTGCCCCTGTTTCTGTTCAGCTGATGTATTGATAATCATTTTGCGGGACCCTTTTGTCCGTTTCCTGTGCCTGTAGTGGTCGGTGTACATCCGTGCGGCGGTTCGGAAAGAGAAAGGACTGCCCATTCTGGTGGAGTTGCTGAGAATAGACAATGACCGGGTGGTTTGCGCCGTGGCCACAGCTCTCCGAAACATGGCCCTTGATGTCAGAAACAAGGAGCTCATAGGTAGGTTTGGGACACGGAAGTGTGTTTGCCTCAAGCTAACATTTTCTCTTTGACTCCAGCAGAGCCGAATGCCGCAGAGGTACGTGTACCTTTAAATTACTTGTATGGCAGAGGCCTTTCAAGATCTATTTCCTTTTGAGTGTGAGCGTGTGTATTTGTGATGTGTGTATCAGCGAGGGCATCTGTGTAGCATTTCTAGTCGGGTATTGCAGTGAGGTGAGGTGCCATTGTTTGAAAGGCTGCTCACGACACTAACAGACTATTGATCTTTTTAATAGTTTGTGTATTCTGATGGGCCCCCTTGTCTCCCTGGCAACCGCTTGCACTCTTTCAGTCTGGTCTTGGCCCTGCGTGAGTTCGAAGGCGTGTGAATTTCTTTTGGAATATAGAGCAAAAGGAACAGCATAAAACTGTACAAATGTCGAGATGGCAGTCTATCTCATTTCAGATAGAGCTGTTCAAATGCCCTTTATTATTTAAGGAAATCAGCGATGAAGCAGGCAAAGCTGCAAGTGCTCTTGGGAACCTTTCTTTCATGTAACTTCAATGCATTCCGGTTGAAAGCAGTTTTGTAGCACGGGTCGTTGCAGAGAGAATTAGCTCCCTGGTGGGAATGGGACTTTTGCGGTCACGTTAAGTGTAATAGAGCTGCTGGGTAGTGATGTGGGTGTATCGGACGCTTTGGCATTTTCAGTTGCGGCCTTGAGGTTCAGTGCATTTAAAGAGCTCTGCATGCCGACGGTACAATCCCAATCCAAAATCTCTGAAAAGGTTGTCACGCCTCCTCTCTGACTTTTCTTTTTCGTTCATCTCATTCACGCAACCCATAGGCAAGTATGCCATGAGGGATCTGGTCCATCGTCTACCGGGTGGCAACAATAACAACAGTACTGGCACCAGCGGCGCCAGCAAGAGCATGTCCGATGACACCATCACGGCGATCTGCTGCGCTCTGCATGAAGTCATCACCAAGAACATGGAGAACACCAAGGCTCTTCGTGACGCCGGCGGCATTGAGAAACTCATCGGCATTGCCCGCAGCAAAGGAGACAAGTTAGTATCTTAGTATTCTGTAACATGATCACAACCAATTAGAGTGTGTAGACAAAACCCCATTTTACTCTATGTCCCGTAGAATTAGGCATATTTAAATGGAAAGGAAATTAGTTTGTAAAGGAAGAGGACATGCTGGACCTTCCATTCATTACATCTCCTATTCTGTATTATGAAAAAGCAAAAACTACTTAAGCAATTCACTTTTAGCAGTTGTATTGCAAGACCGTTTTTAGAAAGCAAGACGGTGTGGAAAAACCGCATTTACATTAAAGTCAAATCTCCTCTCAGGAGATATTAGGATGGATGGAAGTCCAGTAGCTCTATTACTGGGAGCTATTGTACTGGATTAGTTACCTCTGAAAGTGCATTACAAGATAATGGTTATTTTTAGTTTTTTATGGTTGACACACTACTACAAAACGGAAAGTGAAGTCATTTATAATGTTACAGAAGATTTCTTTTGAACTGTCTGTTCATTAAAGAATCCTGAAAACATGTAATATGGTTTCAACAGAAATATTAAAATGATTTCTGACACTGAAGACTGGAGTAATGGCTACTGAAGATTCAGCTTTGCCACCACAGGAATAAATGACAAAATATATTAAAATAGAAAACAGTTATTTAAAATTATAGTAATACTTCACAATATTACAGTTTACTGTATTTTTGATCAAATAAATGCAGCCATGGTGAAGCTTAAAAGACAGAAACATTTTGGAACTTTTGAATGGTAGAGTAGTATAAAACTCATTGCCACAGCATTTACTGTAGATGTTATAGTATTTAAGGTTCCCGTTAGAGCTTATTTTCTATGTTAGAATTTATCACCATTAGAGAAATCTATGAACAAATTGAGCTGAACTAAAATTCATTTTTACTGAGCTATTTATTGTCCACATCTACCAACACTTTGTTTATATAGCTGAGAACGTACTTTCTATAAAGTTTCTGTATTATACCACAGGGTATTATTTAGTTTGCACTCTTTGCAAAAAATATGAAGCAATCCATTATATTAGCAGCCCAGAAATGGATTAGAAACTGAAAATTCACTCATGTTGCTTATATTATTGCAGATATGGCTATGCATTGTATTTATTTCCTCTTCTATGTTTCCCTACAGACACACACCGAAGGTGGTGAAGGCGGCATCCCAAGTCCTCAACAGCATGTGGCAGTACAGAGATTTGCGAAGCCTCTATAAAAAGGTAATAAATTCAGAAGACCTCGCTGTTCTCACATCTATTACATTTGCACCTATATACTTTTAAATGGGCATCAATGCAGTTAGAGGCTTTTTGCTGCCAAGTGGTGCAGCTACAGCATCTACCAGCAGGTGCTAACTGGTTTATCTGATCCAAGTTTTTTAAAGGAATTCAGTTTCAAATGCGTGAAAATCTGTTTTGTTTTCTTTCTGTGTCTGTCATATACTTGTAACCAAACGGTTTTAATGGGTGAAGTTTCAGGATGAACCATGGGCGTCGGAACCATTGAATGAGGGTGGGAAAGGACCTACCCACTTTTGAAGACCAATGATATTGGACCCACTCACTTTTACCATCTCTAATTCAGGGAATATGTGTACTTTTCAGAGCGCCGTCAGTCAAATCCATTCCACATGACGAATGCCCTAATAAATTAAACTCCATTTAGCTACAGCCTTGAATTCCACGCTGCTGCTTCCTCAAATCCATTCCACTTGGCTCATTCAGAGTCCATATAAATGAAACTCCATTCCGTGTTTTCACTACTCGCGCCTGCTGCACTCCCGCGACACAGCAAAGTAAACAAAGCATCAGCATCTGCTGCTCAGATACACCTAACCCTACCTGATACTTTGTTTCAACTTTTCGATTATTTTCTTGATTTTTATTTTTATTGAAAACAAAGGCCTTTCGGATGTGATATGAGATGTGAAAAGGGAGAAGAACGATTTCGCAAAAGGCGGACGCAAACTCGGGTCGCTTGCATCAAAAACACTACGCAACCCGCGTTACCACTTACACCACTGGAAACGTTGCTCAGCAGCCGACTTTTGGCATATACTCCAGTAAATTTTTTCTGGGGGAGGACCCACCCACATTTATTTTGCTTACGACGCCCATTGGATGAACAGATTATCATGCTCCTCTTATTTTTATGGCAGGACGGCTATTCTCAGTATCACTTCGTTGGCTCTTCATCTACAATTGAGAGAGACAGACAACGACCATATTCCTCCTCTCGCACTCCATCTATCTCTCCTGTGCGGACCTCGCCCAATAATCGATCAGGTGAGAGTCGCTCCACTTTCCTCCATTTTGACAACAAGCGATATCATTGATATAATTTGCACTCGATCATCAACATCTTTATCTCCTTGTCAGGAGTAGATTAGAGGAATAAAAAAGCACTTGAAATGATCAAAACTACTTGTTTTCAAAATCAAGTAGTCAGAAATTTATCAGAGTGCATTAATTAAAGCATCTAAAACAAGTTGACCTCATTTATCAACTAGCTGGTTGTTGGAGAATTTTTCAACTTGTCGTTCATAATGACTAATCTCAAAATAGTACATTAATGGGAGATAAAAAAGTGTGGTTTATGCTGTTATGTGATCATAGAGGGAACACAGCTGTCAAGATCAGGCTTCATCCTGATATTTGTTCATTTCAAACTGATACAGTACTGTCAGTCAGGGGGCGCCATGCGTATCCTAATTACACAGCGCTACAGAAGAGTCTGTTCTGCTTAATTAACACGCTTTGTTTACAATAGTGTTGTTTTTGGCGGCCTGTTTTAATTTTAGTTTTAGTCTAGTCTTTGTGTGAAGCTGTCATTTTAGTTTCTATTAGTTTTAGTCACGTTCATACTCTTTTTAGTCTAGTCAAGT